TTCCTCTGTTCTTCTAAATCACCCTACTCTCCTCATTAAATGAATTATGCCTATTCTTTGACCACAAGCTACTACCTCATACTTACCAATACAACAATTCTGTGTTACACAACTACTTAACTAGCTAACTATTACAGTTTCATGTGTCCAAAAATGCTTGGCAGTTTTTCATTTTCTCCAAAGTTTGGGAGTGAGTCTAACATTTTGCAATTAAAAACATTAAAAATGTTAATTTAAGCATTCAATTAACTTCCCTCTATTTAACTGGTGTAAACAGAAGGGAAATGAGTAGTTGATGAGTCTTTTTAAAATAGTAAAATAAGGTTTATTATCTAAAAGACAATAAAACAGCAGAGGTACCCCAATCTCTGGAGTGCACATCCTGCATTATGTGATAACTTCAAGGTGCTTCCTATGTTCTGGATAATCAAATATGCAGGAAATTGAGCTCTGGGTTTCTGAGCTTAAGAACCAGCTGGCATCACTGCTGCAAAGTTTACAGCATCATGAATAGCACATATATGAATGTTATCCCACAGCTTACGATTATGAAAGAAAAGAGATAATAGATGACCAACAGTCAAAATGTAATTTTCAGACAGTGTGGAAGTCACCCTAGTGCATCTCATTCTCCAAGCAGTATTTGACTCTGAATATTGTTATTAAAGCTCTTCCATTATTTTTAGACAACTCACTTGTAAAAGATTGTGAAAATTGGTTCACTTTGAGTACTAGAAAGGTACCTTGCCTGTTTGTTTTCAAAGGTCACTGAAGGTACACTGTGGGGCATTTTTGTTTTAAAAAGACACTTACTGGAAATCACATGACTTAAGCTAACTGCTTAAATTTGTTTAGTGGAAGTCACATGTCTTCAGCTAAATAGTTGGATTTACTGGAAGTCACATGTTTATGTTTAGGGCTGTCAGGAATGTGGCTATTCAAGATTGTTTGGAATTCAGTTGGGATATACCCTGTGAAGAGACAAGATGCCCATCTCAGCTTTTGTCACCTTAGAAATCCTCTTGAGAATCCTGAATAAGAGCTGAAACAGCTATTGCTCTTTAAGGTCTTCTGGAAGACTTCCTCTTGAGTGCACTAAGTGAAGAGAACTTGGAGAGATAGCCACGTGTGTCAAGTGATAATTGTCTAAATCAAATGACCCGTGTGTATATAGGAGATTGCAAGGCTGAAAGTCACCTAGAATATTTTGTATTTCATTCTTTTATTGTCTGAGAATTAATGACTACTTTGACCAAAGTGTTTTGTCTTCAAAGTTAATTTCTGCAAAGAAAACTTCCTTATTTTTTCTTTAGTGCATGTGAGGGTTATTTAGAAAGATAAATATTTTATACCTTCATATTTCAAACTGCATATTAGGCAAATTGTACTTTATCAAATAAGTCTAGTTATTATAATAAATCAATAATTCTGATATTTATTAAAGAAACTTGGTCAATGGACATTTTTATTCTGAAACTAATATAGATTAACTATATATTTGGTCATAACAGTAACTGGATAAAACATTTAAATATATTTTGTGACTATACTTTGTGGAGTGGTGGAAGTAGAAATGCCTTATAACAATATTGATGAAAACATCGGTTGATCTGGAGAGTGCGGCCAGAGTAAATCCATGGGACCGTGGTTCTCTTGGCTGTACACAGGGGTACAAAGGTTGGAAGGGTAATATCATATATTTAATAGCTAGGTAAACAGATGGATGTCATTGCAGCTAAAGATGTGAATCGAGGATTCTAGGCTGTGCTGGTGCGAGGGTCAAGGATGTCACAATGGCTGCAGAGCACTCTGATGGGAATGGATGAATAATCGGTAATCATGGTCCACATTGGCACCAACAACACAGGTAGACAGTGGGGGGAAGGTAGCAATACTGACTAAGGTGTGCAGTGTTGAAGAGTCAGGATGTCCAGTGGGGTCAAGGACAGAATTTGGCCAGAGCTACGGCATATAAAAGATGTGTTGAGTAGTCTATAAGCCAACCATGAATGGGAAAGATATAGAGGAACAAATTTGCAAGTAAGTTACAAAGGTTAAACAATTATAGAATATATATAATGGCACACTTATTTATCCGAATATAAACTGGGATAGTAGCATTGTGAAAGCAGACAGGGGCAAGCGTTCTTAGAATGCGTTCAGCAAAAGTGTATATTGTACATCAGTATGTTTCCAATACACTGAGAAAAAAAAGATGAAATGTCAGTAGGGAATGTTTAAGAGGCATTGATTACTATATCATTCGGTTTAGGTTGGTTTTGGAAAAGGACAAGCAACAATCCATGGTAAGAATAATTAATTAGAGGAAAGGTAATTTCAGAGGACACAGATAAATTGGAATCATAGGTCAGCAGACAAAAATGCAACTGAATAATGGGCTGCCTTCAAAGGAAAGACAGACTGGGCATAGTATTCTTGCAGAGGGGAAAGACAAGGCTCCTGGATGTCAAAATATGTAGGGATTAAGATGAAGAATGAAAAGTGTGTTTATGGTGAGGATAATGATCAAATGGATAATACAATCAAGAATCAGGCTGAATACAGAAAGTTCAGAGAGGACTTGACAAGCAAGTAAGTGAAGAAAATATGAAGAAACTGGCTGCTAATAAGAGAAAATTGAAAAGTCTTCTATAAGCATATAAAGAGTAAAAGGAGTAAGAGGTCAATAGGGGAGCAAAACATGAATTCATACATGGAGCTGGAGATATGGCTAAATCTTTACCAAGGAAGGAGATCCTGGACAAGTCATGGTGAAAGAGGAGGTAATTCAGACACTGGAAAGGTTTATAATTGATAAAGGAAAGATATTTTATAGGCTGCCTGTCTGTAAAGTTGGTAAAGCACCAGAAATGCCTTAGCCATGTCCAGTGATGATAAGAAAAATGAAATTGTGGATAGTCTCGTCATATTTTTGCACCTTACTTCGACTCAGGAGTGGTACCAGAGGAGTGAAGAATTTAAAATCTTACACAATTGTTCAGATAAGCATGTAAAAATAAGTTCAATGATTTCAGCAAGTCAAGTTAGCCTGGATGGTGGGGTAGCTTCCAAAAACAATACTTTATGACAAAATTCATTATCACTTGGGAAAATACAGATTAATTAAAGAAAGCCAACATGGGTTTGTTAAGCACAAACTGTGTATATTAGCTTGCTGGATTTTTTCTCTTGAATTAAAAGTGACAGTTGATGAGGTTAATACAGTTGATATGGCATTGGAAAAAGAGAGTAAAACAGTCTTGTGAGCAAAGTTAGAGCTCGTAGAATAAAAGGGTCAATAGCAACATTGAATCAAAATTGATTGAGTGACAGGAAACAAGACTTTTAGACTGAAAAGTGATTATCGTGGCACTTCCCAGGGATTGGTGTTCGGACCCCTACTATCTGATATATATTAATAACTGCAACCTTGAAATATAGAGCATTGTTATAAAATTTGTGGACAATACAAAACTTTGAAGTATTAGAATTCATGAGAAGGATAGCATAGAACTTCAAAAGGACATGGACAATTTGGTAGAATAGGTCGGAAAGTACAAGATTAAAGCTAATGCAGAGAAGTGTCAAATAATTCATTTTCCAAAGGAATGTGGTGAGACAATACAAAATAAAGGTACAATTCCAAAGAAAGGTTCAGGAGCATAGCCACCTGGGGGTATACATGCAAAAATTGGTTGAGAGAGGAATTACTTAAGTATACAGCATCCTAGACTTTAGTAAGAGGTGCATGGAGGTAGGAAGTTTTATTAAACTTATGCAGAACATTAGTTCAGGCTCAGTGAGTGTACCACACATACTTCAAGAAGGATATGCAGGCATTAGAATGCAGAAAATATTCACAAGAACATTTCTAGGGATGGGGAACTTCAGTTCATAGATAACTAAGTTGGGATTGCTTTCCTAGCAGAGATGAAAGTCAAGAGGAGATTTAATACAGTATTCAAAGTCATGAGGGGTCTGGTGAAAGTAGATAGAGGCAAATTGTTTGTATTTTTGGAAAATTCAGGAACAAGAGGGTACAGAGTTAAGGTAATTCGTAAAAGAAACATGGTAACACCAGGAAGATATTTTTCAATAAGTAAGTAGTTAGGATTTGTAATGTGCTGCCTGAGAGTGGTGGTGGAGATAGATTCATTCAAGAGGGAACAGATTATTGTCTGATTAAGAATACATAGGAATGTGGGGAGAAACTGGGATGTAGCACTAGGTAAGTTGCTCACTGAGAGACAGACGGCAGAAGTGAAGTGCCTAATGACCTCCTCCTATGCTATAATCATTTTGTAATCCAGTGAAGAATTTCAGTCCCTTCTTAAAAAGTCGGTAGTGTATCCATATCTATTAAAAATGGACCCAATTCTCCAAGTATACTAATAATCTTTATCAAGTGCTAGCATAGCAAGATTGAAATGACATTTTCAGATAGTTACAGCAACGTTTAACTAGTACTCTTCTGAAACTGACATCGAAGGCGATTTATATTTCAAAATTTAAAACGCACTCTATCTGCAATGCTTTCCTCCATATTTCTATGAACTAACTGGCAATCTTCGTTATTAATACATTATTTGAGAAGGGGTGTCATAATTCCTCCAAAGCTTAATCTTAAAACCCAGGTTTCAGCTTTTAGACTTCATTGGCGTCTATTCTTAAAGTTGTCCGTTACATTCTAAACGAAGAAAGTTCTGTGGATGCTGAAGGTCTAACGTATAAAAAATACAGAAACTGTTGGAGATACTCAGCAGTTTGGCAGCACCTGGGGAAAGAGACAGACAGTTAACGTGTCAGTTCTGCTGAAAGGTCACCAACCTGAAACATTAACTCTGTTTCTTTCTCCACCGATGCTGCTGATATTTCCAGCATTTTCTATTTTCATTACCTTCCAAAGCTCGCAGTGCTCTTCGATTTTCATCTCACGTGGAAGGAAACATGTCGTAAGCATAGAAGCCCTCAAATTGTTAGTTTGTTTTTACTGGACTCACCTCTCCCCCGTGCCCGTCAAAAATCCCGAAAATGGAAGGGTGACTTTTGTTCACCAGGTCAGTGAGGACTTCGAATCGGTCTTCCATGTGATCTCTCCTGCCTTGGATGGAATAAACAGCCACATTGTTGCTCTTGTACTCCCAGGTTTTGGAGAACTCGGCATCCAGGACATCCAGCCCCCCGAACCGATCATTCTGAATGATTTCCACCACTTTCCCTTTCATCATTTTCACCGCATTTTGGCTCGATTTCACTATGGTCTTCACTTCGTCTGTGTGAAAGAAATAACTCCAAAGAGCCAAACTGATACACAATAGAAACAAAGTTTCCGGCCTCAGAAGAAAATAGCGCATGATGCGGCCTAAAAGAGACAACAGAGTCATTGTATCTTCTATCATTTATTCTACAAACTTGGAGAGAATCAAACAATCAATTCACCATCCTCTAAGACAGGGACCTGCGCAAAGAAGGCAGCGTCTCTGGCGTGCGGTTCGGCCACAAGGTGCAATTGGATTTCAGATCCCGAAACCCCTCCAAGAGATATCGGCAAGAGGAAAATTGCACCGCTGCTCAATGTATGCAGGCAGCGAGCGATTTTGACAAGGGCAGGAAAACGCTGCTTCCCGAACCCAAACCAAAGCCACTTCCAGCGAGAGGCTGATTGTTTCTGTTCGGTTCTGACAACACAATCTGCCGCATTCCCACTGCGGGAACATCCCATCCCAAACCAGAGGGGATACCTCCCATTTCTGCAAGATTTCCTCTTTTCCCAACTTCTCCAAAATGCTGTAGTCATACTACTTCTTAAAGTCTTTTTTCAAACTTAGATGTACGGGAAAGCGATTGATCAAGTAATGGTCAGCAATTGCCATTAAGTTTATTTCAGTTCGTTAATTCCCCTTTCTGTTTGGTAGATTCTACTTTTCAGTCTGCAAGTGAATTTGAACGGAGGGAAGGAAGGATCAAAACTCAATCAATGTGGGAAATACGCCTGTTCCTCTAGCGAAGTATTTACAGCCACAGTTCATGCTGGCTAACGAGCACTCTATAAAAAAAATATATCTCGTAATGCCAAATACTTGCTCAAAAACTGTGCATTGTATCAGCGCGACGGATGAAGGGGCGGGAGAACAATAACTGCTAAAATAAAACAAAGAACTGTAGATGCTGGAACAAAAAGTATTTGAGAACAATAACTGTTTTTGATATAACAACTCTCAAGATTTGCACAGCAAAACAACTGAAATGTGATTTTTTTTCACAAATGTAATACCTAGCAAATGTTTTAGGTTCATTGCAAAATTCTCGCTACTTTCCCAAAAATCAGATTTGTTCAGAAATTCAGTAAAACAAATTCTATAAGTGTATTTATCTAAAAGTTGTATGAAATTTATACTCATTTTCAGCCAATCATGTAATAATGGACATAGAGAGAGTTGGTGATTTGTAGTCAGCACTGATCACAGTTTGAAGCTGAGAATTTGTTATCACCTGTAATTGCAATTGGATGGAGAGGAAGCAGGTAGTTCTCAAGACCAACTCAAACAATGCAATAATGTTACAAAACTGGAATATTCTCATGATAGTAGATGTATACTATTCAGGCTTCTTGTATTTAATGATGTCAGTGGGCTTTTTTTATTCTTGTATGGGATATGGATGTCACTGGGAAAGGCAGTTAGTTGCTCAATGCTAAATGCCCCCAAATTGATTGCCTCATAGACCATTTCAGAGGGCATTTAAGATCCACATTGCTGTGAATCTGGAATCACAAATAGGCCAGACCAGATAAGGATGGCAGATTTTCTTCCCAAGTAAAGTGGTGAACTGATGGGTTTTTATGGCAATCAACAATAGTTACATGTTTGCCATTAGACTAGCTTTTTATTCCAGATTTTAATTGAATTCAAAGATATGAACCCGTGTCACCAAAACTACTAGCCTGGGGCTCAGCATGACCAGTCGAGTTACGTTATTACTACATCACCATCTCCCTCCTATGAAGTTTGAGTAAATAATCAGTTTTTGGTTATTTGTGGAGTGAACAGACTATGTAAGTTAGTACAGAAAAATAGCTAGTACAGTCAGCAACACTTAGATGAATAATCATCTTAGGAGATTTTTTTAAAGTTTCTATGTATGTGGTACAGTTGAATTCACTCAGAGCACAAAGAGGGGCTGACTGTTTCTTGGGATTGCCAATTATAGGACATGACCACTCCATATTTGGATAGATCAGAACAACAGAGGGAGGCCACCTGAATGTGTGGGGAGAGGCACAAGGTGGAAATATCCTCCTGGATTGCACTGAATATTAGTTAAAATGACGAAAGCTTAAAGTGTAGTCCTAAACCTAACACTGTATGACAAAGGGTCTGCACCAAACCTTTGAAGAGCATTCCACCAGACCTGTATGCCCATGGCTAACCCACCTCACCTGCAAATACCTGTACACCACGGGGAACTTCTTAAACTTGGCCAATCCACCTAACTTGCACATTTTTGGACTGTGGGAGGAAACCTGAGCACCGGAGGGAAACTCTCACAGACACAGGGAGAAAAAAACTCCACACAGACAGTCACCCAAGGCTGGAACTGAATCCAGTGCAAACCATTGTGCCCAAAACATAAGCCTGGGGTTCTAGATTGTTAACCAAGTGACATTGCCACTTTACCATTATACTGGAGGGTATAGTAACACGTAGGAATACAATAGTGTTTGTGATTCAACAGATAGGCAGTTTTGCTGACCATCATTGACAGTCCTGTTGGGTATGTAGCCTCGATGGGTCTACAGCAAGGGACACCATAGACTGCAGAACATTCTATGGAGGGAGAGGTGGTGGGAAAACGCAGAAATGACACAGTGTTTATGCCTCAAGACTGTTGTATCCTTAGTTTGAATTGCAGCATCATTTGTATCTGTGTTTAGGAGCATACGTTACTTTTGTTACTCTTTGGGAAAGGGAGTTAGTATGTTAATTTGCACCATTAAGTCGATTAATATCTGTTTCTGATGAACTGTTAAATGTGTCTGCAAATGTCTATAACTTTTCCACTTCATATGTCATGAAGTTTTACTTCTTTTAATTTTGCAGAATTTTTTCAAGACTTAAAATAGTGGAAAACGGGTGCTTGATGACCAGCATATTCTTGATGGGCCAAAGGATCTTTCTCTGTGCTGTAAAACCCTATGACTATGATAAAATACTTCCCAGAAGTGCTGGGGAAACACGAAGGAGAAATTATAGAGACTTAATATTAGCAAAAAATAAGTGTTGGAAAAATCAATGGGACTGAAAGCTGATAAATCTCTAGGACCTGCTAATCTACATCCCAGGGGATGCCAATGGAAATAATGGATTCATTGATTGTTACCTTCCAAAACTCTTTAGATTCTAGAACAGTCCTAGCAGTTTGGAAGGTGGCAAATGTAACCCCAATGTTTATTTAAGAAGGAAGGGAGAAAACTGGGAATTACAGACTATTTGGCATAACACTAGTAGTAGGGTAAAAACTGAAGTCTATTATAAAGGACATGATAATAGACACTTAGAAAATACCAATGGTATTAAACAAAGGCAAGATAGATTTATGAATGGAAAATTGTGTTTGACAAACCTGCTAGAGTTTTTTTTTGAGGATGTAACTAGTAGATTAGACGATGGGGAACCAGAAAATGTGTATTTGGATTTTCAGAAAGCTTTTGATAAAGTCCCACATAACAGATTATTGTGCAATGTCAAAGCAACATGGGATTTATGATAATATATTGGCATGGATTGAGGATCAGTTAGCAGACAGAAAACAGAAAGGAGGAATAATTGTGTCTTTTTTCAGAATGGAAGGAGTACTATGGGGATCAATATTTGGGCTCAATCTGTTCGTGATGTTGACAGCTTGGATGAGTGAAACAAAAACAATATTTCCAAGTTTGCTGATGACATAAAAGTAGGTGTGATTGTGAGTGGTGAGGAAGATGTAAGAAGCCTGCAGGGTGACTTAGACAAGTTGAATGTGCGGACAAATACATGGTATTTGCAGTGTAACATGGATGAATGTCCACTTCATTTGGAAAAAGAGAATGGCAGTGTATGATATAAATGGTGAAAGATTGGGAAAGGTTGTTGTACAAAGCGTCTTAGATGTCCTTGTACCCTGGAAGCATGTAGCTGCAGTAAGCAGTTAGGAAGGCAAATGGTATGTTGACCTTGATTACAAGAGCGTTTGAGTACAGAAGCAAGGAAGTCTTGATGCAGCTATACACTAGGATTAGTGAGACCACACCTGTAGTACCGTTTGCACTTTTGGTATTGTTACCTAAATAAAACAGATATATTTGCCATAGGGGAAGTCTAACATAGGTTCTTTAGACAGATTCCTGGGATGGTAGGTTTGCCAAATAAGATGAGAATGGGTGAAGTGGAGATGTGTTCACTGGTTATAGAAAATGAGGGGGTGTCATTGAAATGTATAAAATTCTGGACAGACTGGATACAGGGCTGATGTTTCCCCTGGCTAGGTGTCCAGAACAAGGATGCATGGTCTCAGGACATGCAGGAGGCCATTTCAGACTGAGACATGAAGAAATATTTTTAATTAGCGAGTGTAAACGTGTGGAATTCTCTATTACAGAAGACTGTGGATGGAATGTCACTGAGTACATTTAAGAAAAAAGTTGGTAGATTTCTAGAAGCTAAAGATGTCATAGGAAGAAAGCAGGTGTATGGCATTGAGATGGAATCCATGATCATGGTAAATAAGCAGGGTTTGATGGGCCCAGTGACCCACTGCTGCTCCTATTTTCTATATTGTTGAGAAGGGCAGTTTCATTTTGGCCTTCACCAGGTCATCAACACTTCAAAGAAGTCTTTGTTAGAGTAGACTTCCTAGCGGGCTTTCCAATATCTCAGCCATGATGTGTGACCCTTTATATCATACAGCAAGGCTATCGAACATTGAAGAGGGAGTATCTCAGTTATACATAATTTCCTCCTTACCAACAGAAATTTTTCAGCAGGGATCATTAAATTGTAACCAGGCTTATAAACCCAGACTGATTTCATTCCCATGCTAATCTAGGCTGTTGAAGCTAATTTTAAATGTCCCCATTGTCATCAACTGAACGTGGGCCAAGGTGTGAATCTGGGAAGCATCAGATCAGTCTTGACCAGTTATAATCTACGGTCACAACTATGAGGTAATTAATTGCCTGCCAATCTATAAATGTCCTACTTTGGTACAAATATTGATTAGTTTTGAAATATGTGGTCTTTGTCAATGTTGTTTTTCTTTGAAAAGCATGCAACTAAATCAAAAATCAATGTGAATTTCTGGCACACTTAAAACATATGAATACAGAAAATGAAATAATAAAGGTTTACTATTCAAGCAAATACCAAACAGTACATATAATTTATCTATCAAGACTCTACTTGGCTCATTAAAGTTTCAAAAGCTGGTTCTGGAAAATCTCACTTCTTAAATTTCACTATTGGTAAAACAAATAAATATACATTTAACTTTACATCTCTTAACACAGTAACCGGGTGGATCTTCTCCAATTTTGTGAAAATCTGACTCTAGCAAGTGCAGGATATGCCTGGTTAGGATGCTTGTTCATGTTTAAACGTTTTGTCTGTACGACCAATTGTACCATGTCGTGGGTGGCACAGTGGATGATGCTTCATTGGATAGAAACGCAATCTTGAATTCTGATGGCAACATTGCTTTTGCCAGTATTTCTCTAAATTAATTACGAAACATCACAGTGACGTGTTTTAATGCAATCAACTCCTGGCTCTGTTTCTTTTGACTTCGCACAACGTGGAAAATGTAGCGTTATCAAATTGAAACATTAACTCAGGTTATCTCCAGAGAAGCTGCCCTGCTCAGCACTTTTTCCCAGCCTTTTATGTTACTACTGTATTTCTGATTTCCACCATCAGCGGAATTTTGCTTTTGAATTTGTAAACATGTTGCTCGGTTTTCTAGTCGGCCTACAATTAAAACGGATACTTGTAATAATTTGTCTCAGCAAAGATAACAAGTACCTTTCGATTTTGTAAACAAATAGCTTTAGATACTTATTCAATGTAAATAAATCACTTGTGTAATGTCTCTGGTAAAGACAAACAGTCCATATCGACATGTCCACGCATAGAACCGCCGGCAACTCACCGGAACCGGAAACGTTCAGGCTGTCCTTCCGGGCGGCACGTGGAGCCGGTGCTCAGAGAAACCGGACTCAGCAGGTTGAACCGGAGTCAGTCTGTGACCTGGAACTGGGGTATCGAACCGGATCGAGTGATTTTCAGGTGCGGAGAGGGAAGGGAGAAGGAAGTAGAGTCGGAGGAGGACAAAGTGAAGGGGGGTGAGAGCGAGAGCGAGAGGGGAGAAGAGGAGGGTGGAAGGGAAGGCTGGAGTGAAGGTGAGGGGAGATGACATGTAGGAATTGGAAAGTAGGGAGTGAGCCTAGGGAAGTTGGTGTTGGATGAGCAGGGGGAAGTTGGGGCTTAGTGTAAGAACGGAGGGAGAGGGCAAACAGTTTTAGAGGTTAAGGACGATATTTTGGACAGTGGCTTGAGGATGTTTTAGGAAGGGTAACAATCTAGGGTAAGGGTGTGTTTTGGGGTGGGTTGGGGGAGGCAGAAGAATAATGGAAGAAGTGGGATAAGAGGGAGGGAGGGAGAGGGTGACCATAAAGAGAGGGGGGTTTAGGTGAAGGTGAAAAGGGGAGATGGGTGGAGGTGGGGATGGCATGCCTTGGGCTGAGTTGAAAGGTATGTAAAGTTAGTGGAGGTTTTTTTGGGGGTGTCAGGCATTTTGGTAAAGGGCTTGAAGACCCAACCAAGCAGTTAACTTACTGACCATTGCTTCACCTTCTGTCACAGCTACATGTGTTTTGGTCAACATTACCAACATGGAATACATGACAGAACCTGCTGCAAGCACGCAGGGACGTATGTAAGTAGACTACTTGCTTTGCCTGATGCTGTGGAAATGTGATCTTAAATCATCAGGCTGTAAAATCATAAAAGTAACTGTTGAAAATTCATTTTTCTATTGACTTGTGGAACATGGGCATTGAAGGATGGACTCGCATTTTTTGCCCATTCCTAGCTGCCCTTGGGAAAAATTAGTGGTGAGTTGCCTTCTTGAACTCTTACAGTCCATGTGCTATAGGTAGACCCACAATGTCATTAGGGAAGAAATTTCAGGATTTTGACCCAGCGACACTCCAGGAATAGAGATATATTTCAAAGTCAGGCTTTTCAGTGGCTTGGAGGGGGATTTGTAGGTGGTGTTCCCATGGATTTGCTGTCTGTATCGTTCTAAATGAAAATGGTCATGGATTTAGCAAGTGCTGTCAAAGGATCTTTGGTGAATTTCTGCAGTGTATCTTGCAGATCGTACACACTGATGACACTGAGCGTTGGCAGTGGATGGAGTAGGATGAGTAGGATTTTGTGGATGTGGTACTTATCAAGTGTGCTGCTTTGTCCTGGATGGTGTTTAGCTTCTTGAATGTTGTTGGAGCTGCACCCACCCGGGCAAGTAAGGAGTATTCCGTCACACTCTTGACTTGTGCCTTGTTGCTAGTGAACAGGTGAGTTAATCACTGCAGTATTCCTACCCTCTGACCTGCTCTTTTAGCCGCTATATTTATATGGTGAGTTCAGGTGAGTTTCTGATCAATGGTAACCCCAAGGATGTTGATAGTGGAGGACTCGGTGATGGTAATGCTGTTGAATGTCAAGAAGCAGTGGGTGATTGGTCTGTTAATGGAGATTGTCATTGTCTGGCATTTGTGTGATGTCAATATTACTTGTCATATTTCCCCCCAAGCCTAGATTTTATTCAGTTTTGTTGCATTTGGACATGAGCTGCTTCACAATCTGAGTCTCAAATGATGCTAAACATTGTGCAATCATTGGCAAACATCCCCACTTCTGACCTTTATGTTGGAGTGAAGGTCTTTGATGAAGCAGCTCAAGAAAGTTAGGCTTAGGATCCTAATCTGAGGACCTCCAGAGATGTCCTGGAGCTGAGATAACTGACCTCCAACAACCAAAACCATCTTCTGATGTGCCATATATGATGCAAACCAGTGTAGAGTCTTCCCCCACCCTCAAGCTCCCGGATTTCATTTACTCTAATCTTGTTAGTGTTCCATGATGCCACTCTTGGTCAAATGTGATCTTGATGTCAACGGCTGTCACACTCACTTCACCTCGGAATTCACGTGCATTAAGCAGTACTATTGTAGTAAGGGCAGAGACTATCTTAGAAACAACTTGGACAGAGAATGATAAGAGGTGAGATCTGGAACTTGCATCAGCGTACAGCTAGAGAGTGGGTATAAACTAAAACAGTGGTTGTCAAGTGTCTGTTGTGGTGGTTTAAAAGAGCCACTTCAAGTCTTGGATGTAGCCATTGTAGATATTTTACAAGCATGTACTGGGAAACAAACTTGGCTAAAGTCTACCAAGATCTCCAAAACAGCATGGCAGAGTTGTTGCTCATAGCTGAACACTTTGACATAGTCTCTTACTTTGTCTATAACTCCATGGAGTTCTAGTGATATATGTCTAATCAGTTTCTTGTGTTCAATCTCTGCTTCAGTTTCCACGGTAAAGCAGACGTTTTGGGGGACACCTCCAGATTTTATCTACACAATGAGAAGATCTTTGACTCTTGGTTACATGCTACCCTCTTAAAAGTAGAGGCAGTCTTTCTTGGTTTATAGCTAGCATCAGTTACTTCCAAGGTATGGTTGGCCTGGTCTTGGTTGTATTAATCCATAAGTTACCTCAAGGTTGCCATATACCCTGTGAAAGTACACTACTACACTTTTGATGCTGCCCTCCAATTTAGTTCCTCCTATTCCTTCTGAGAGTGTATACAGTAGTACATCATGGTATACAATGTAATTAAATTGTTTATTCATTCCAGTATCGTCAACTTGGTCAGTAGTATTAGTGTGGTCGCACCAATCCTTTCAAGGTCTTTACATTTCATTTGGATACATCATTCCCTAATTTGGGTGAGTCACCAATAGATGCTTCCTTTCTGTGTCTGGATTAATCAAATTCAGGTCACAAACCTCACTGTGTGTATGTCTGCACATGTTTCTGAAATGATTGTTGCCAATATCCAATTCTATTTTTTAATTAATCCTTAAGTCAGTACGTAGAGCTAACCCTTTTATTAGTTGCACTTCTTGCAAATCTGTGGTTGTAACTGCATATTTTGTCCCTTGGCTTACAATGTGAAAGCCTTTTGTGCTTCTCACACCTCCCATGATTTGGCATCATTAATACTCTGGATTTTCCATGAATTTAGGACTGTATTAGTGTGACAGAGACATGTTCAGTTTTTACCTGTACTTCTGGATCCTTACTCCAGGTGTCGTATGATTGTTCTACACACTAATCAGCTGTTGATATTTGTGCTGTGTCTAGCTAATTGACTTGGTGATTGTGCCATTATCCTTTAACTGTTTAACTTTATAGACCACTTCAGTTGTTTTCATGTTAACACCATCTTTGTGCTCCCTTTTCCTATGATGCTGTACTTGAAAGGCAACATATCAGTGCAACTCTGTAAAATTCCAGTCACCACGTTGTTACATTAAATATCTTGCAGCAATACATCATAACTGGTTAATATCAATACACAATTCTTGTTATTGTCCTTTTCAGTCTAGATACCCATATAAGAGAAGTAAATTAATTCATCATGGTGAAATCTTAACCATTTCTCCATCATCCTTTGTACCACTCAGGCCCTTTAGCAGTTGTCCCCTTTCTCTCCATTGAGCAGTTGCAGTGTACTACTTGTGATACAGGCAAGTGCTCTTGTTGATGTACACGGTGTGTGCTTCTTATAGTACAGTGTATTATGGACCAGACCAAACTAACTGCACATATATCAAGGAGGTAGCCTAGACCCTAGCTTTTATCTTAGTTAAAGGCAAATATAAGGTGCTTTGTTTCCAGATTAATTTGATTGGTCATGCTACTCGGCTTTAAGCAAAACACACTTTATTCTTAGCTTACAATTAAAATACAAACAGAAAGAGGAATTGGTAATAACTTTAACTCTGTTGGAAAGCTTAACAAAATAATCAATTATTTGACTACTATACCGCAACTGTTCCAATATAGTAACATCCCATAAACACATCCTTGGCAAAGGGAAATTCAGCAAAACAGATTGTTTCAGATGCAATATTTCTCCAGTCCAGAAGGAGAGAATACCAACAGAGAATTCTGGCAGAGACAGAGAACTTGAGTATCATGCTGTAGCAGGGAGAGATGTATGGCAGCTTCAAAACCCCAAACAATTGCTGAAAGCTAAACTAAAACACTGGTTCTCTGGAGGCCTCACTCCACCCATTCATGCTGCTTCTGTTGTTGCATCATTTTAAAAAAAAAAAACCCAAGGCCTCACAAGCTGTTCACTTTATTGGCTTGGACCAGATAGCCATGGCACCCACAGCTCAAAACCTCTCTTCAAACAAAAGAAACCAGGACAAAATACACCTAATTAAAGCTATAATATCATCACAAATGGTTACAAGGAGGGTGTACACCATTAGTGCCAACCACAGACTAATATTAATCTAGTGGTTTTTCTGAAATAAAACAACTAAAAGACCTGCTTCTGACCTTCCTGTTATCAGAAAGAGAATGCAAGTCATATAGCTTAAGCTGAGACCATTGGAGTGGTGTCACCTTATGCAGCTTTCTTAGAAAGAAAAATGCCAATTTCATCAGAGCTTTTATTTACGATCCATCTGTACAGGACATACCTGGACCAAACCTCTGAGTTGATGCACGATGCTCTTGTTTTCATACTTAGTCAATGTTTCCAAGTAACTGTGGAGACACTTAACCTTCATAAAGGATATTGTACCTTGACAATGACTGACTAGGGATAGTCAACCTGATTTTGGGAAATCGTGTCCAAGGTTCTGCATGGTAGACCTGGTTAATAAGGTTGGATCATATGGAATACAGGGAGAACTAACTATTGGATACAAAAGTGGCTCGAGGTTTGATGACAGAGGGTGATGTTGGAGGGTTGCTTTTTGGACTGGAGGCCTGTGACCAGCGGTATGCCCCAAGGATTGGTGCTGCATCCACTGCTTTTTGTCATTTATGTAAATGATTTGGATGTGAATGTAGGAGGTATGGTTAGTAAGTTTGCAGATGACACCAAAATTGGAGGTGTAGTAGACAGCACAGAAGTTTACCTCAGAGTACAATGGCACCTTGATCAGATGGGCCAACGGTCCAAGGAGTGGCAGATGGAGTTTAATCTAGATAAATGTGAGGTGCTACATTTTGATAGGGCACATTTGGGTAGAACTTATACACTTAGTGGTAAGGTCCTGGGGAGTGTTGCCAAACAAAGAGTGCAAGTTTATAGTTCCTTGAAAGTGGAGTCGCAGGTAGACAGGGTAGTGAAGAAGGAGTTTGGTATGTTTGCCTTTATTGGTCAGTGCATTGAGTATAGGAGTTGGGATGTAATGATGCGCTGTCCATGACATTGGTTAGGCCACTTTTGGAATACTGCATTCAATTCTGGTCTTCCTGCTATAGGAAGGATGTTGTGAAACTTGAAAGGGTTCAGAAAAGATTTACAAGGACACTGTCAGGGTTTCAGCCTCTCCCTATAGCTTAATAGACTGGGCTAATTTCCCTGGAGCATTGGAGGCTGAGGGGTGATGTTACAGAAGTTTATAAAATCATGAGGGGCATGGGCAGGGTGAATAGTCAAGGTCTTTTTCTCAGGGTAGGTGAGTCCAAAATTGGAGAGCACAGGTTCAAGCTGAGAGGTGAAAGATTTAAAAGGGACCTAAGAGGCAATATTTTATCATGCAGAGGGTGGTACGTGCATAGAATGAACTGCCAGACGAAGTGATGGAGGCTGGTGCAATTACAATATTTAAAAGTCAC